CTTAAGGTCAAAAATTAGGGTCTGACAAGTACCCTCGGAGTGTGAGGGGAACCACTATAATTTCCTGTGTCTCTTTTACTTTCAGCCTTTACAAGCTTTCATAACATCACTCCGCTAAAAGAAAGTAACATAACTCTCTTAAAACCAGAAAATTTCAAAAGAACCTAATTCACCCCCCTCTTAGGCGCAATTCTTACTTACAGGTTCAAGTGCACTCCTTGAAAATATTTTGAAAAGATGTTGATTGAAGTTTGAAGTTATTGGTGAATAAGGACGGCAGTCGAAGGACTGAGTGATTGTAAACGAAATTGCAAGTAAACTAAATAAAAGACGAAACCGACTCTAAAATCGAAAGAGATAAAATGCAAAAAAAAAGGTTAAGATATACGTGTAGGGAATAAAATAACACGAAAAGTAAAGGAAGTTGAAACGTAAAAAAAAGAAAAGGCTCTTAAAGTGAACTTATTGAAATATTATAAAATGGTGGAACACATACGTACATTTTCCTTCACCCCTTTCTCACAGTGTAGGTACTTTGAGTGTTACAGAAACGTGTACAATTTGCGAACCCTTTACAAAATGAACTTAAGTGCCTATTTATACTACTCTAAAATAAATGTCTAAGTATGATAACTATCCTTATAGTGACACGTCCTAAGTCATGTAGCAGTTTTCCTCGACGTGTCCCACGTTTTCTAAGTAACCGTCGACGTTGAGGTATTTGCCGCTTTGTTCTATTATTTGAATTTCTCAACTGCTTTGCTGGCACCAAGAACTAGTTATCCCCATCGAGGCCTTCAATATTGACCTTGTCTTCTAGCATGCTCCAATGGATTGTCCATTGTAGTGATGTACCCCACTTGTAGCATCTAAGGCAACATTGTTTCCATTATAGTGGTGAACTCTACGTCTGGTGGCTGAGTCGAAGTTACTTTTATTGTAATGATGGAATCCAACTTTAGCCAACATAGCATAGTACTCAATTTCACTAAGTCCCTGTGCTCTTTACTACGCCTTTTGACCTTGCCACTTTTGACCAGTGTCTCCTTACATGATTTCCGATCTTGAGTCATCCTGAACATGTGGACTTACTTATCCTTCCATGTGGCGTATCTTTAGCTGTTCTCATGAATACTTGCCATTTATAGTCTAGTCGAAAAATCTAGTGTAATAAAATCATTACATTCACCAAATTATCCGGCAATTAAAGCTCCACCAAAGTTCTCCATATGCATTGAGGTTTTTTTGGGTATGTTAGGGCATAAATGACGTATTTGCCATGGAGGAGACAATTGCAGGTTTGTCTAAAGATGTATCTTTGGATTTGCTCTACATTGTATTTGGAGATGCATCTCCATATTTGACTTAGGCAAAAACAAAAAATTGGGTTATTTTATGGAATTCGTGATTTTCTCCAAAATGTTGTTTTTTATTTGACTCTGTTTATAAAGCAGGTGCAATGGCTGAAGACAACATTGGAAAATTAGGCTTGGGTGTGTGTCCCAAATTACGTCGGTACGACGTGTGATGGCCGCAATGAGGACCACGGGGCCACGAGTTGCTGATAACTCATTTGATGCTGCATCTAATTCACCGCCCCAATCGTATGGTTCTTGTAGCCGACTCTCTCAAGCATCTTAGGCATATGATGCAGTATAACTTAAGGTTCTTGAGGCCCCTATTGACCCTGATGCCTCTGAAGCCCATGAGAATGTCTCATTAGAGAGTTATCTAGGAAGGTCATTTGATACCTCCTTACTTTATTATTATGCAGATCATGTTGCTAGGCATGGTTTTTGAGTTGCAGAATATCGTGCAGTATATGCGATGACTGAGACCGACGATTAAACATATCTAATAGTTTATATTAGGATATGTTTTTTTTTTGCATTTTCAGATGTATTTTTGGAGAAATGTTATGTATGAATTTTCTTGACTTTTTAAACTAATGTATGCATTTTTACTTTTCTTTTAACTTTCATATAATTGCATTTTTCTTTGATTTTACGTTAATATAAGTTGGCATCACAAAAATGGAATGTTTGGAGAATGATGTTGTTTTGATATGATTTAGAAAAGATTCTGAAGATGCATCTCTAAAATAATTCTCCCTTTGTATTTTCTACGATTTCAAAAACTTTCTGGGGACAATTTGGAGATGCATCTTCGAATTCATCAAATATCATACAGAGATGCATCTTTGAATTCACCAAATATCATACAGAGATGCATCACCAGACTATATTTTGTTCAAAATGAGGTGGATCTCAAAATAACGCATTTTGATTGTGATTTGGTTGCGCCCAGATATGCATCTTTGGACACATGAAGGACAATTTTGAATTTTCAAGGGTGTGGTATGCTTATATAAGAGTCTAATGAGCAACTTTCCACATTAAAAGATAGAATAATAGGTTAGCCCACAAACAAACCCAAATAGAAATCAATGAAAAACAAAGGGAATTACTTATCCCATCCTATGGGGTTGAAAAACACCATTTGAAAAACCTAAAATGCCCCTCAGATTTCAGAGATGCAACTCTGGACACACCCTTGCACCACCTTCTGACGCACCAAATGAGTGCCACCTCAAAGTAAAACAAAATTTTATTTCAGAGATGCATATTTGAGTATTTTCAACAAATATATTAATATTTGAGTAGCCTAGTGGATATTACGGAGATGCATCTTTAGACGTTTGGGGCGAGATTTTGAAATAGTTGTCACCTTTGCATGTCAGGTATTTACGGAGACGCATCTCTAGAATAAGGATACATGATTTTGATAAAATAGTCACCTGTATGATCATAGAGCCATAATTATTTTTCACTCAAAACCTTTTCCAAAAACCCTTCCGTTCTCAATCATCATTTTCACTCCAAATATTCATTCTTGTGTTTTATCACATCAAAAAGAGCAAAAAAAGCTGGAATTCCAGGTAAAGATCATTAACTTGAAACCTCATTGATCACATTAAATTTGTTTTTAGTTTGGAAAAATGTGCATTGAATCCGAAGATGCATCTTCAGATTCTGTATGAATTCATATGGAAATGCATCTTTGTAGCCTGTCTGTTCTCATTTTTCCAACTCTGTTTATAATCTTAGCACTTTTTGAGTTTTTTTATTATAACTGTTTTCATTAGATATGGTGCACCCCGATGTTTTTCTCAAACATGTTATGTCTCCAGATGCCAAGAGTGTTGTTGTGAAGGAGGTAAATATTGATAATCAATTTAAAAGTGAGCAAAAGTTTGAATTTCATGATCACATGCTTCAATAAATTCGTACGTAGGCCTCCAAATTGGGATTTGGTGTGGTAATCGGAAGGTCCGATAATGGTTCAGATAAAAGAGGTGCATTTGTGACAATGACATGCGAAAGAAGTGGAAAATATAGATATTCTATATGGAATTTCAAACGAGATGACACATGTTCAAGAAAATGTGAGTGTCCCTTTAAGTTGTGTGGTTATATGTTGGCAAATAAGAAATAGATATTTAATGTCATATGTGATTTACATAACTATGATTTGTGTGAAAAGTTAACCGATCATCCAATTGTGTGTCGCCTCATGCCGGAAGAGAATGAATGCGTTTCAGACATGACATTAAATTTGGTTCAACCAAAAAACATACTTGAGGTCCATATTTGTCTACAACTACCATAAATTTAGGCTCTTGTATCATGTCTCATACAAATAGAAAATGCCGCAAATGAATATCATCTGGTATGTCACATATATCTCATTTTCCAACGCGACACCCATGCGAGAATTTAAGATCAATGAGTACACTCCTTTTGTAGATCTGCAATACGAAGAGTAGATTCTCCTACCTTACAGAGATAATCGAAAAATTGTGAAGCTCGAGTACCGTTCACCGTCAACTAACAATGAAGACACGATTAAGTTCAACAATTATGAGCTCAAGACGGATACATATGTAAGGCCTATATGGAACGTATTTTTCCATTTCGAAACAAAAGTTATGATCGAGGTGGAAGCAACGATTTTAAGATCGTTCGAAGATATTGCGAAGATGTTGAAGCGTCTACCTGAATATTGAAATGTAATGTTTGATTTTATGTTAACATCACCTATGCAATGTTAATTTTATGATATGAATGATGATTTTATTTTGTCAAAATATAATTTTCTGCTTTTGTTTTTGTTTCAGTATGCTACGAAGATGCATATATAAACATGTTACGGAGATGTATCTCTGGATCTAAAAAAATCACACTTCAGAGCGTGACTCAGAATTAATTTAAGATATGTATATATGAAGTGCGTCCGAAAATAAATTTCTAAAATCTAAAAACATTTTTGTATTTTTATGTGACGCCTTAATAATATATATATGATACATTAAAGAATATCCAAAAACAAAATATTCATGTTCAGCCCCATATGAAAAAGAAAAAGATTAAGCATTGAATTTTTCTGATTTTAAAAACACTCAAATAAAATAGTTCAAATTTTTACCCTAACAATATGATAGAGAAAAAAAGAATAGTAAAAAATGTAAATGTATTATTAGTGATGGAAGGTGTGCTGGTCTAAAAAGAAAACGAAAATCATTACATGGTAGAAAAAATTGACAAAGCAATGATGTTTCCATTTATATACTGCGTTCTTTTGTTGTTAACAAAGAAATTAAACACTGCATTAATTCAAATTAGTAATAAAAAATGTCTTGCGGTGAGCGTGGATCGAACACGCGACCTTCAGATCTTCAGTCTGACGCTCTCCCAACTGAGCTATCCCCGCATCTTGAAAATTTCTCAAAACTTGTAAATCCCTTTTCTAAAACTTACATTTTCTGCTATGAAAAATATTGATAGGAAACAAGTGAAAAACTTGGTCGGAGTAAGCACGGTAACAGAAAGAAATCAGGAATGATAGAAACGGTGTCACCACGTTAACAGAAGCTACCAGTTTTGATTCAAGCGGATCCACATCAGATCAGACTCCCACTCTCAGAACCATTTCGATCTATAATGGACTGGGAAGGTGCAGTTTCAGGATCCGATATGGAGGTTCCCATCCCTCTTCCTTTAGCCTCTGAATCGCAACAACCCTACGTCTCTGAACTTCTCTCCTTCACTCTCGATCGCCTTCACAAGGAACCCGAACTTCTCCGCGTCGATGCCGAACGGATCCGTCGCCAAATGCAAGAGGTCGCCGTCGGTAATTACCGTTCTTTCATTGCCGCTGCGGATGCCTTGCTTGCTATTCGTCATGAAGTCTCTTCTATTGACAATCATCTTGAATCTATGGTATTTTTTCTTTCTTAATTTCAGTTTTTTCTATGCTGTTTTTGTTGTGGACATTCATGTAGATTGGAATAGAGGCAAATTAAATTCAAACCTGAATGAGACATATTTACTTACTATTCCTACTATCATAATGTTTCTGGTGTATTGAGTTTGGAATTGGTTAAGATTGAGCTCGGTGTTCCGACGCCTGTGAAAAAAGCTCTGAAAAAGGCGTGTCAGGGTCGGAGACCTATACCGTTTGTATCCGTGCTTCGTAGAGATTGAGTTTATTTTATGATTTGTTTTTAAGTGAATAAGGGACTATATTGTGATTTTATAGAGTTCAAGCATTGTGATTTCTTCATTGAAGACCATATATGACTATTTTTTTAAAACTGGGAGAGGAAACTATAGATACATACATCTTTGCAGGTTTTTTCAAGTTATACATATAGTTCTGTGCAATAGTGTGCAATTTCTTTCATTGGATATCAATTTATAGAATAGAGTTTTTAGAATTAGAAGCGAGATTAGAGGGAATCCCAACCTTAGCTTGCGGGATTAAAGGGAATAGTACCCAGTGATAAATCCCTAATAGAAAGTAGTGAAATCAGAACAAGAACAGAGCAAAGGGAGAATAAGAATGTCAATGACTCACTTATTCCATGACTTCATCTCAGTATATCACTCTACTCATATAGTGTTACTCATACACAAATCCAATCAGCCTACAGTTGGCTACATGGTGGGTTGGGCATATTTGTGTCTGCTTCCATCTCAACCCCGTCTTCAAGTTGCAATAACATGAACTGTTTGTTAGGCCATTTGTGAGAAAAGAAAAATTCTCGTCCCAAAAATAACACAGTCCCCTGCGCCAGAGCTGCATATCTGCTGGCGTGATGCTTTTGATGTTGCCATTCTATTGGTTTTGGTGCATTGGATTGGAAGGATAAATGGTGTTTGGACTAGAGGAGGGATTTCTGAGTTGGGTGTGAAAGTAGTGGGTTCGGATCTATTTGAGTTCAAGTGGGCTCTATTTGGGCCGGTGGAGTGATTGGGCTGGGCCTTTGTGAATTTAAATGAGGTGTAGATCATAATGTCTCTATGTATCTCCGATATGAGGCTTCTAATGAAGCATTTGATTAACACATCGTTGCTTAGGCCATACACTCGATTAGCGAGGGTCGTAAATACCTACGGTGCCGGACAGTTGTAGCTTAAAACTGGTAGCATAGGGACATTCATAGATTGATGACTCAAAATCCAGCTCAAGTGCTCTGGTGAAAACTTGCCATGACTGAAATGGTTGCGATTGCTGGAGCGTTTAGAACCACGACACAATCTTAGTCCAAGTGAACAGAAGTGATGGTCAAGCGATTAGGAGTGGCATTGCCGAAGGACTGCATGAACTTGAAAATCCACTCTATGCCATTTTTTCTGTTGAAGCGAGGAAAATCAAGCCTATGAAACGGAGGTTTGGATGAGTTTTGGGCACCATGGGAAGAGTTATGGGCAAGAGTGCTCCGGTGTTATAACTTTTCTAAGGCATTGTTGGTCATGGTGAATTTGTCTTCCTTGGTAGCCTCGATCTGATCCATTTGAGTTTGCCGATCGGAATAGCTCTATGTCATCGTCTCAGCATTTCATTTAACTTTTGTGGGAAGCTCCATCAACCTAGTGTTTTCTCACATGGTGAGATAAAAGCACCAATTGCAATGCATTAATAACAAGTGATGGAAGTTGTATTGTTTTAAAATATTATAATAGGGAACCTCATCCTTCAGTTGTAAGACTGAAGGAAATAGTACACGGGGATACATCCCTAATAGTTGGTAGTGAAATCAAAACAAGAAGTACAGAACAGAGGGCGAATAAGAATGCCAATGACTCACTAATTCTACGACCTCACCTCAGCATCCCAGTCTATTCATATAGTGTCGTACTCACACAAATCCTCTCAGCCTACAATTAGCTTTCAGAGTTTCTCTTTCCTTTTCCATCTTCCAGAATTTCTGCGTCCATTGTAACTAGTTCTTGTCTCACATGGTCACCTGGCTGCCTTTTAGAACCTGATTCTGCTGACTCAGCTGCTTGGTTCATTACAAACAACCACAGATCTGTCCCATTTGATGATGTTGGTTAATATAATTGAACTTGAAAAGTGAAGTACAACGAGAAAAGAAAAGGATTTGTATGGAATATTTATCCTCTTTTTGAATCTGAACTAAGATGATTACAGAACTAGAGTAAAAGATAGAAGGGAAAGCAGAAATGAAACTCTCAGCTGCAGGAAATTGGTAAGTCCTGGCTCCCCTACTCGACATCTACTACAAATCTACTCTAACCTGTATTATTTCTGTCTCACGGTTTATCCTCTATTTTCTCTCCCTCAATTTTCTGATTAGAATGTGACTTCTAATTAAATAATTTGTTACTGTAAGCAAAATTGAACTAACCCTGTTTTCTTCATAACAGATCTATCCCTGTACTTTCCCTTATCCTTCCTGACATAAACTGTTTTGATTGGGAGCCTTTTAACAGTTTTCTCAATGGATATTTTGTAATAGACAACCCCTTATACTATAGCCATGTCTTTGGTATTGGTATAGAAGAAAAAGAGAGAAGCGAATTTGGAGAGAGGAGAAAACCGGGTCTCCCCTTTTGCAATCTCTGCATTATGTGAAAAAAAGCAGTGCAGAAAATGGACACTTGTTGGCCTTTCCACTAATATCCTTGGCTCTTCCACACTTTCCTTGCCACAAGCAGTGTTGTCTTGTGGTAACACCACTAGTGTCTTCTCCTCATTAGCATGCATCATCTTCTCTGCCCTTACACCTTTGTGCAGTGGTTGGTCACTAATCAAGATGTTTTAAAGTGATGGTTGGTTGTATTAGATTTGGGTGGTAGGATCTTGGGATTACCTAGTCAATGTGTCGCGGCTCATGTGGATGTGTATGGGGAGCAATGTTTTTGCAATGGAGCTTGGTAATCTGGTTGAATTTCTGATGGTCCATGATGAATACTCCAACCAGATTTTTTGTGGTTTTCTGATTTGATGTTTGTTGGGGTTCCAGTTTGGTGTTTATTTGTATTAGAGATATGCTAGCTAAACCTTTTTAGATCTTGCACTTATTCCTAACTAATAACAAACTGTTTTAGTTAGCTATCCTAGTAACTGACATCTGTCAGCCTGTAATAGAAAACCTGCTATAGCAGGTTAATTGTTTGCATCTATAAATGCAAACAGTTTCTCTCTTGTAACTAACTTTTCATAAAGGAAAAATCAGTTGCAACTGAAAATGTTCACTCTCTTTATACTTTCTATTAATTTGGATCTAAATTTGATAGAAGCTAAGGTTGAAGATATGGGGTGCTTGGGTTTACGATGGTTCTATTTTGCCTGCTTAAGTTTTCACAAGAGTAGACTCTGATTTCATGGAAGTGTTTGTGTTAATAGCTTAATGTTATATAACGAGGTATCAATGTATCATTAACTAGTGCAGCACAATAAAACATTTAAGATTCTCTGTTTTAATAAAACAGTTACTGAAAATATTGCATTTGCTGGCCACCTAATCATTCTCAACGGATAATAAGCACGACCACTAGAAGTGTAATGTAATCTGCTACTTTTTTTTTACCAGTGCTAATAATAACTTATTGGATTTATCTCTAGTATTATATTATCACATTGCTGACTTGGTAGGGTAATCTGTTAATCATGTATGCCCGACAGGCAATCAATTATTACATGTATTAATCTTCAGGTATACCACTATAAATTGGTAATCAATCATTTTGAACTGGGACATCAATTTCATGGCCCAACAGTCTTTTGCTTTCTACTTATATGGGTATTTTTGTACTTAAGTGAACACTTATTTCCTTATTCTCACTTTTCAATCCAGCCAAACAAATGGAGAGAGAACTTAATATTCATTTCTTCTCGTTTTCATCCATGCTAAATAATATAAATATCTACTATTTTTCACCTTTTTCTTTCTCCTCCTTTTCTGTCTCATTATTTCCTTTCTCCCTCTTCTCCACAACCAAGCAATGTGTAAATTCTTTATAATATTCACCCCATCATGATGAATTTCTTCTGTGTGTATGTGTGATTTGAGTATTTGTCTCTTTTGTCTTTGTAACAGATAAACGAAATCCCAAAGCTGACATCTGGATGCACTGAATTCATAGAATCTGCAGAACAGATTTTGGAGAAGAGGAAGATGAACCAAACAATGCTAGCCAATCACAGTACTTTGCTTGACTTGCTAGAAATTCCTCAACTTATGGACACGTATGTTAAAATGATAAAAATTGTGTATTTACACTTGTTGAATTTCCAGTTATTAATTATCTCACATGCTGCATCTATGTCAAAACATGTTACATATTCTTTTGCAAATTGTAAGAAACCTTGGAAATACTTATGGTTTTGCAGGTGTGTACGGAATGGAAATTACGATGAAGCCCTAGATTTAGAAGCATTTGTCGGCAAACTTTCAACCATGCATCCAAAGTAAGTGTTCATACTTCTTCCATGCTGTTTGACACATAATTTAGCTTTACATGTGATCTCCCCCCAAGTTTTTTTCTTCCTCACTCAATATCACCCTCCCTTCGAAGGTTACCCATTATTCAAGCATTGGCTGCAGAAGTTAGACTGACTACCCAATCACTTCTTTCTCAGCTTCTTCAGAAACTTCGCTCAAATATTCAGGTTCATGTAGTGGTTATATTTATTTTATGAACAAATGGCAGTTGACTAGAAAAATGTTTCTATTTAGTGTTTCTTATTAATCTGTCTTCCATTACCAGTTGCCCGAATGCCTGCGCATTATTGGATATTTACGGCGAATAGGAGTATTTAGTGAGTATGGGATGCGTTTACTGGTAAGGATTTTCTATGGAGTCTTCTTTTCCCTTGTTGATTGCTTTTTAGCTTGAAATTTTCAGTTTGGTTTCATCCCCTTGGGTTATCCTTTCTTCGATTTGATTGACAGTTTTTTATTGTCAGTTCTTAAGATGTCGAGAAGCATGGCTTAATGGTATTCTTGAGGATCTGGACCAGGCAAATCCGTATGAGTACTTAAAAGGAATGATTAATTGTCACAGAATGCATCTTTTTGATGTTGTGAATCAATATCGAGCTATATTTGCTGATGATACATCGGGAAGTGAGGAAAACTATGATGGTGGACTACTTTTTAGTTGGGCAATGCACCAAATTACCTCACACCTGCAAACTCTGAAAGTTATGCTTCCAAAGATAACTGAAGGCGGATCACTGTCGAATATTTTGGATCAGTGCATGGTGAGCTTCTTCCATCATACCCTTAGAAATCTTGAAATTGGAAAGATTCATAATTGTTGTTAAGAATTAGAACTTGGATATAGAAATTACAAATTATATAAAGAGTAAAAGTCCAAACTGGTCTTCTCAGAAAAATACGGAGACCTATCGGTCCTTAGAAATGAAAAGTGCAAATTTGGTCCTCTAAAATCTCAAATGTGAGTCAAAGTCATATTTAGGATTATTTTTAGGGACATTTTAGTTTTTTCAGGGACTACTTTGACGGTAATTTATGTTTAGAGGGCCACATTGATACTTTTCATTTCTTTAGGATCAAATAGGTCTTCATGTTTTTTCTCAAAGACCAATTTATGTATTTACTATAAATTTTGATGTTCAGAAATTTTCTAGCAAATATGTTTAAAACAAAAATGAAAATAAACTCAAGATTGGTCTTCCTACTAGTCTTGTGAATGTGGAAAGAAAGTTTGCATGAAGAAATTATATTGACATTTTCTATTTTATTACTACTTTTGTCAGTACTGTGCTATGGGACTTGGTTGGGTTGGACTGGATTTTCGAGGCTTGCTCCCACCACTTTTTGAAGAGTAATTCAAGTTCCTTTTTATGATTTGTTGGGCTAAATAGTTATTGAAGCATTTTATAATATAAAGGGTGGTTTCTTTTCAGGGCAGTTCTCAACTTATTCTCCAAAAATATGAGTACTGCAGTTGAGAATTTTCAGGTAAATGCAATGAATTTGAAATGTTTTACGTGCTAGTCACGTGAAATTGATTTTATATAAATTGATCACATTCATTTATTCAAACAAGTCAACATCTGGGGACATCATTTTTCTTATTCCCTCAGCAAATTTCCTAATTTATGTTGCAATTAAAAAATTGATGATTTGTTCTCAGTTGGTATTGGATTCACATCGCTGGGTTCCCCTGCCCGCAGTTGGCTTTCGTTCAAATGCTGTTGAAGAAACTAAAGAGGATGTAACTCCTCCCTCATATTTGATGGAGCATCCACCTCTTGCTGTTTTTATTAATGGTAAGTCTAATAAGTGTCTTCCACTAAGTTTATTGGAACACTTTCACTTGCTACTCCACTTATATCTTGTGGGCTATGACTTCATTTAGGCCTAGTGCATATTCCAACTCTTCCTACTTATATCTTTGTAATTTGATCTGTGCTCATACGAGTGAGAGTCATTTTTAAGATTGATAAATAAATCTTGACCATTAGATATAACCACTAACAGTCAAAGTTGTAATATAGTCATGTAACATTTGAAGCAGTTTTATCACCATTATATAGTTTTCAATTTAACCGTCTCTACATGATTGTATGGTCTAAATTTCCTTCTCTCTTTTGCATATAAAAATATTACTCTACCTATGAGTGAGAGGGTCATTTTAAAGATTGATCAATAAATATTGACTATTAGATATAACCTCGAATAATCAAGGTTATAATTTAGTCATTTAACATTTCAAGTAGTCTTATCACCATTTAGGCCTAGTGCATATTCCAACTCTTCCTACTTATATCTTTGTAATTTGATCTGTGCTCATACGAGTGAGAGAGTCATTTTTAAGATTGATAAATAAATCTTGACCATTAGATATAACCACTAACAGTCAAAGTTGTAATATAGTCATGTAACATTTGAAGCAGTTTTATCACCATTGTATAGTTTTCAATTTAACCGTCTCTACATGATTGTATGGTCTAAATTTCCTTCTCTCTTTTGCATATAAAAATATTACTCTACCTATGAGTGAGAGGGTCATTTTAAAGATTGATCAATAAATATTGACTATTAGATATAACCTCGAATAATCAAGGTTATAATTTAGTCATTTAACATTTCAAGTAGTCTTATCACCATTATACTGTGTTTAGTTTAATATATCTGCATAGTTTTATGGTCTAAATTTACTTCTCTTTTGCATATAAAAATATTACTCTACCTATATACATCCTCTAGTCACACACTTAAGCAAAATACAAAAGGAAAACTTTCATAGTTGATGGGTCATGTTTGTACTTTTATTAATCAATGCTACTTTTCCTTCCTCCATTCTAAACCCATTGTCCATTTGCATTGGTATTTTTTTGGTGGCTGCAGGTGTATCTGCAGCAATGAATGAGCTCCGTCCATGTGCCCCAATAAGTTTAAAACATGTCCTTGCCCAAGAATTGATCAAGGGATTACAGGCTGTTTCTGATTCATTGTTGCTGTACAACACAACACGGGTTCTTAGGGCTAACGAATCAGGACTTTTCCTCTCACTTTGCCGGGCATTTATTGAGGTACTTTATAGCTTGGTCACCGTTTCTAATTTGAGGTGATATGCATTTCTCAATTAATAACTCTTAATACTGATGATTTGTTTTGATACTATGGTGGCAGTGGATGCTTGAACTCAAGCTCCTCACCACTAGTACAATCCATGCTGCATTCTATATACTAGTTACTGAATTTCTCCAAATTCAATTTATAGGTTGCTTATCCTCATTGTGCTACATGTTTTGGTCGTTGCTATACCGGTGGAGCAACTCTTATCATGGATGCAAAGAACGTTTATGATGGAATCCGCCGCCTAGTAGAGGCTTCCTCTGCAAGAGAACTCCCAAAACCAGTAAATAATAGGGAAGCCAGTGGCATAGCTGAGAATGGTGAAGTGCCAAAAATGGATAATGGTGAAACACCTGATGCCAAAGAATCTGAAGTCATCAATACTGAATCTGAAGCCATCAAAACTGATGAGGTGAACAAAATCTCTACTTCTCAGGCAGATCAAGAAGACACTAATCTTGAAAAAAGCTCCACTTCTCCGACAGGGCAGGCTGACACTAATATTGAAAAAAACTCTACTCAGACAGGTCAGGAAGACACTAATCTTGAAAAGACAGACGGATAAGTGCCATTATAGTGATCAACAAAGTTGTATTTTTTATATATACAATTTTTAAACGTATCTGTTTCAGACTTTCCCTCCAGTTTTGGGTCTGTTTATTTCTTTATATGTTACTGTCAGCTGTAATTATATTATCAGAAGAAATAGTATGAATAGGTTGTAGAAAGTACTTGATTGTTAGAAGTACTGAAGGGAATTTTGACACAGATTACATGTAAGGAACATTATTTCTTTATTTTTTTTTCCATGGGGATAATATTTTCATCAACAGGCCTTGTCGAGGGCCTATCACCACAAGCTATTAAAAAAGAGAGTTTCTTAATCCATCTCTTGATATTCTTAGGCACTTCGCGAAATTTCTTTTATGCCCTCTATTTTCAGAGATCCATATCTGGACACACCATTTTTTTCCTTACGCTGAATGCTTCCGAAGACACATCTTCTGTACATGTATCTCCGAAATCTTATCAGAACAGATTTAAAAAAAAAATCAAGTTTCGTTGGTCGCAGATGGAAATTAACTATTGCAGATGAAGATAAAATAATATACAATCTATAAAAAATAATATAATATATATGAGAAGTAATATGACATAAGTATAAAAAAATAGTACATAAATGTCATCAAAATATATATATCAAAAAAGACATCACAGTCACTACTGTGTGTGCCTGATAACATCTGCATCCCTTCCTCTGCCTATGCCTCTGCCGCCTCTGTCTCTGCCGCCTTCTTGACCGCCCGATCTGCATCCTTGGTCATTAATCCCATCCGTCCTGGCGCGATGCCTGGGATACATAAGTGTCCCTTATGCCACCTCAATGATCTCATTCTATACACGCCTGTGGTTAGACCCCCCAGGAAAGAAATTGACGGGAAGCACCCGCCCATCTCCACTATCTGACGACAACGATGCAGGACATCCTGAGTGTGGTCCAACTGAGACTGCTGCTCCTATAAGATCTCCTGATGAGCTGGTCTGGGCGGTGATCCTTCTGCAGTGGGCACCATGTATGAGTGTGAGACGGTGAAGAACCAAATGATGTAGCCATCAACGCAGCTCCAGTCTCTCGGTCCTCTGGTCGCCTGAGGCTTGTCCGGTACCATGTGCGTTTGGTAGTCAGCAAAGAACTCGTCTATCTGCCTACGGGTCAAGTCGAGAGGAGCGGAGACAACGAGGTGTCTGGGTATTGTCTGTGTGTACCCGAAGTGTCGCATGACTAGGGATGTAAATGGATATTCACGGGGACGAATATTATGATATGCATATCTGCTCTGTTGGATAAATATGATATCTATATCTGCCTCATATCCATGCGGATATCCGTTAAACGGGTAATCCGCGAGTTGTACGATATCCGTGGATATATTTTTTTATAAAATTATTTTTTGAAAAAAATACTTTTAACTTCTTTTAAAGATACAAAAGTTACTACCACATTACATCCATACAATTCACTCTTAATTTAACAATAAAATTTTATCACATTGATTTTCTTCTTATTTAGCAAAGCATAATTAGATCCAAACATAATATCTATAAATTTTATTTTTAACCAAACAAATAAAAGATATTGTGATTGTGAGTTATGATGAAAGAGCGGACAATAGATGAGTAGGAAGGGAGACACTGGTTTGATAGAGGAATGACGACATGTTGTTTGGAATGTGAAATTGTTGAAGTGAGGTATAGAGTATTGAAGAGTTTAAATATGAAATGGCTAATAGAATTTGAATGAAATTTGAAAGGTTTTCTTCAAAGAAAATTTTAAAAAAAGAAAGAAATATAAGAAGACTAATATTTTTAGAAGATGAAAAGATAAAGTATAATAAACTAATGATATTTAAATGATATTTATAATTTATTAACGGATATGGATATCCACGGGTACAAATATCTTTAAACTCGTATCCATATCCATTAACAAATGGATATTTAAATATCCATTTATTTTGTTAGTGAATATCCATTAAGTTATCTGCCCCATATCTGTGACGGATTTTATCCGAGGGTACGGATTTTTTTGCCATCCCTACGCATGACGCGCTTCAACAAAAATGGAACAATGATGGTCGAACTGCATGCCAACCATCTTGAGAATAGTGATATGTCTTCAAATGGACGCGTCCCACGATGATCGGCATAGACGTCCCACGACAGAGGCGGCAAGGACATTCTGGAATCAAGCCTCCTGTGGCTGCTCCAAAGATAATATCTTCCGCCTATGATTGTAGAACTTCTGCGACTCACGAGTCTAAAAAATTTCCATAAACAAGAAACAATGTTAGTAATCAACAATGGTACAAATTATAAATTTTCAATGAAAAAAATGGAACAAACTGAGTAATGTTACCTTTCAATCTCGGACATGTCTGGCAGTATGGTCAGCATACCCTGTCAGTAGAGACATATCTGAGGGACCCCCTAGGAACCCTCATGCTCATCATCGTCGTCGTGACCAGCATCCTCCGCTGGTGGGTCATCAGCCTTTGGAGGTGGCACCGGAGAAACATCATCGACAAGATGAGGAACAAGAGTATCCTGACGAGGCATGCAGAATGACGGGGTCTGTGATGAGCCTTCAGCTGAATCCCGACGCCTCCGGGATGAAGAAATCGATGATGTGGTGAGATACGAGGTCGAGGGAGTGTTCTTGACATGTGATGAAGAAGGCTATCTAGTAGGCTGTGCCTCGGCTGTATCGTCCTAGGTAACGGTGGCCTGGCTCCGCTCGCGTCTCACAGATGCATGCTATGAAACCCATCCAAGACGCAATCTATCGTCTCTGTCTGCCATAATGTTCTGCAACGGAATAAGCAAGAAAAAACAATTAGATACAAATAAATAAATAAAAAAAGAAAAAATTAACATTTTCTACTTCCGGATATACAAACCCGGAACAAGTTTCGTAGATGTATCTACGAAAGCACCCATAATTTACAACGTTTGGGTTGTTCCGGAGTTGCATCTACGAAAGCACCCTAACGTTAAATTGTTCCGTAGATGTAGATCCAGAACAACCTGCAACTCAAAGGTTACATCAATGACACCCCCTACCCATGCAAATGTGATTTTTAAAGTCTTGATCATTTATTTCAGCCAACAAACAATACCTACATTGTCTCTAAACTATGTTTCTAAAACTATCTAAGGATTTCTACCCCTAAAACTATATTCTAACTCGTTTACGGGAAATACTCAAAAATAAATTAGAAACTCGAGAATTTATCGATTATATTAAGCATTGAATGTATTGGTGTTTCTTGATCATTGAAATGAACGCTCCTTGTCGATTTTGATTGAAAATAATGAAGTTTGGTGGAAAAATATTTTTTGAGTTGAGAGAGTTTGAGAATGAGAAGAAAAATGAAGAATGAGGAAGGAGAAGAGACTCTGGCGCATAAGTATTCTAATTTATTCCGGAGCTGTATAAATGGAAACCTTCCGTAGATGTAACTCCAGAAAAAACCAACGTTGAGTAAAAAAAAGGTGCGTACAGAGATACATCTCCAGAAGCAGGGGGACATTTTTAAAAACGCACATGGTGCGTAAAAACCCCAAGGGGTGGGATAAGAAATTATCTTAAAAAAGGGGTTACATTATCCACCTTGTGGAGTGCGTTAGTGAAAAACAAAAATATCCTTTAATTTCAAAAATCCTCACTGAACGCTCTATCATTCATACACTTCAGCACTTTGTGACTGAGTCAACTCTATTTGGTATAAATTTAATTCAGAAAGCATCTCTGAAATAATTTGGAAGTGCACTTCCATAACCTTATAATGACGCGAAGTGCACTATTTACTTCCAAATAGAAAATAAAAATAAACAATAATTAAAAAAATAGTAGAAACAATATGAAATAGAAAAAAAATAGAAAATAAAAAAGTCAAACCACTAAAACAATAGAAAATAACTAAAACAAAAATAAAGATAAAATAATAATAGGAAATAGCTAAAACAAAAATAAAGATAAAATCACAACTAAATAGCAACAAAGAAAATTTGAAATTAAACCTAAAAAATTAAAAATAACAAACTTGACAACAAAACCAAATAAGAATGAAAAATAAAAGTAAAAATAACAATAATAACTAAAATAAAATAAAAATTTAAAATTAAAAATATTGCACAAATAATGCCTTTTGAAGTTATCAACAATACTCGACAACGATGGATGCCTGTAAAAAAAAGTGCTTCATCGCAACCTCATTGGTATATATCGCGGCTGCGTTGATATCTATCATGACTGCGGCGTGACATCATCACGCCCACGATTTCAACATCGCGGCAACGAGAAAAACAATGACTAATTCTTTTTTTCTTCAAATTTTCACTAAGGCCAAACTTTTTTTCTCCTTTGTAGTTGATCTTACCGGATCAAAAAGGGGATCAACAGCCATCAACACGTCGTGAGTTCTAAATTTTCGGTGATGGAGAAGAGGAGGGGGGTGTACCTGCAAGACACTTCGATGTCAAAGTGAGAAAAGAGAGAGAGTGAGCAAGTACAGAAAGCTAGTGAGTTTTGAACACCCGACCCTCCTCTGGAGGAGGGTATTTATAATGAGCCCCCAATGCTAGGCCAATGGTTATCCGCATTGGTTGGATCTTTAGGCCCAATATGGATAACTTCCAGGATCTACGTGGCGTAGGGAAAACCATCATGTGATCTTCGTCTTGCGTTAATTGGCCCGTGGACTTCGGGAGGTGGATGACCTGTTCTTGCGGGCGAAACCGACACCTGAAAGTCGTGGGTAGTTGGTTGATGATGTGTCCCCATGTAGGGAACACGTGGATAGCGTGGGGAAGACGCGTGAGGAGCGTTCCTCGTGCGAGATGTTGGATTGAGCCTTTTTTAGGCCCTCCCCTAAGAGGAGATGGGTTGGGCCGTGCCCGACGATGGGCCAGCCTCTGGCCCCCAAGCCGTTTCTTCTATGCATAGGAGTAATGACTTAAAAGTCGATTCTTATGTCGAGGAGGGGCACAGGGAACTTACCCGAA